ATCACAAAATCTGCATAAATCCTTACTGAACTCTTGATCTATTCGAAGGGGAATGTCTGAAAACAGATGGCTAAAATAAGCATCTATCGAAGCGCCAATCAGAAAGGAAAAAGAGAGCAGAAGTGAGCGAAAGACGGATGAAGGTGCGCTGAGAACGAGCGGGAAGAGGGAAGGAAAAAGAATGGAGGACTCGAGGCCTAACAGATTATTTCTGTTCCAGCCCTAAGGTCATTAATAATCAATCTTCTCTAGTTCATGTTTTATTCAGAGTGACCCGTAAAATGCAAGACTCTCCCCTATTTATACAGCTGGCGTTGTGCTGCCAGATCACAGCCAGATGACTTTGGCCAAGAGCGGTCAAGCACTTCGATTCTCTCCTCCAAGATTGTAAACTTTATATACTGATCTAAGATCAGCAGTCTCTAAAGTAAACAGCAGACTTAAATGTTGTGAGAGAGGAGGTGAAACCGGCCACAGAACATAACTGACAGCAAGTTTCATCAAACAATGACTGCTCCATCATAGACACAGCTGCAGTACAGGAGTGGGGCGCCTCACAGCTGGGGACAATGTCACAGATGATTGCATCCTCTCAAGGAATTATTCATAATGAGGTATCAAAAGCAACAAAAAAGTACCATGGAATTACCAGCATTGGGTTTAGCTATATTTATGTTATGTATATGTACATATATAAACATAATTGTACGTATGTGTGCGTGGCTAAATATATATATAAAAAAGTGCCATGTTACTTAATGGCATGGTAACAAAATATAAAAATATATATAATAAGGACATTTAAAACAACTAAGTATATATTTCATATGAAAAGACAGCAAAATGCATAATAAAAAAGGTTTAAAGGTATTTAAAAAAGGGTTTAAAAATTAAAAGGTATTTAAAAGTGCATTGTAAAAATTTATTTTATAAATAAATAAATAATAATAATAATCTTTAAAAAAAAAAATCATATGCACCATGGTATCTGTACCAAAGTACTCTTTTGTAATGGCTTATTTATTACTCACAACCTATAACCCTAAATCTAAACTCTAAAGGCCCTATTAGATGTATAATGCACAATAATTTTGTTTTTGTTCCTGAAAACGCCAATTCTTCATCTAAATGAGGTGCGTTTTTGGTGAGTCTATCGTCTTTGTTGGCTCTGTGGGTTGTATGACTGAGTGGTTCTTTCAGTGCCGGCTTAATCACCTTCTTGCATTCCAGCCGTTTAAACAGATTTGCAGTAGCATCCTGTGAACAGCTCAAACCAAATAAAACAACATTACGCCTTAAACAGAGGGGAAAAAAAACAGGCAAGGAGGACGAGTAATAAAAGAAGCATTGACCACAACATAGGACGAGTTGGCAGCGAGGCCTAATAGGGCGGTCTGGCGGAGTTAAAGTACTATATGAGTATGAGTTCACAAGCATGTGTTTTTGTGTGCATTATGATCCTCTTGTGCGTTTGCATTGTCTGCATCCTGATTAGTCTATATTGGTGATGCCTTGCAGGCTTATGTATAACTTGGTGCAATCTTCGATTTTCCTGTCTGAGTAACTTCACCAGTCACCATTAAGAGCGACGTGACAAGTGAAAATCCCAAAAAGTGCTGGGAAACAAACAAGAAGATACTTTGAAGAATGTTCCAACTGTTTTGTCCATACAATGAAAATCAATGGGGTCCAATACAACTCTAGACCCAATTGACTTTCAATGAATTGTATGGACAAAAAGAGGACATTCTTCAAAATAGCTTCTTTTGCATTCCATAGCAGAAAGTTATAAAGGTTTGGAAACAATATGAGGGTGAGTAAATGATGACAAAAATGTCATTTTTGGGTGAGCTATGCTTTGAGAGAAGAGAAGCAAAAAGGAAACACTGTCTCTCTCGCAGTGTATAGCATATAAAGACAAAGGAAATCAGGGTAAAAACCCCAAGTCCTACATTACCCAGCTCAGTGCCAGCTTAGAGTGCCAGGCCAGTAAAAAGGAAGTCCATAAAAACTGTTAATTAAAAGATCAATGTTTAGCTTCAAAGAAAGGGCAAGGGCTCAAACAGTGTGCGGCCCCTCATAAATACTAAAGCATATTTTGAATACAAGAGGCTTGTCATTAGTAGAGGACTGGTCATAGAGGACACCAACCTCAATCCTCTACGGGCTCGATGGCGACTGTGCCTCAAAGAGTCATTCAATTAGTTACTAATAACTCAGTTTATAAGAATGATGATTGGCAAAGAGCCCCCTCCCAAATTGAGCCACTTGAGGGTCTAAGGAGAGGCATACATGCCATCAAAAGACACCACAAGTAAATTCATGTGGACGTTACTAACAATAATGGACTGAATAGAACACGATAAATTAAGCCAATAATGAGCACAGACTTTTCTCGTCAATTTGAGCCTGTCATGGCCAAACGGGCGTCTTCTGGCGTCTTCTGTGCTGAAGGGATCTAAATGGCTGAACTGCAGCGCGGAGAGAACGCTAATGTAATGTGCTACACTCCCAACACAAAGAAAAGAAGAGAGGTCAAAGAAGACATCAATCAAACGGGCTTGTGAATGCCGGCAACTCGTCCAATCCACCATCTGCAAGTGATTCCACCATCAGAGAAAACCAAAAGTGTCTTCCAGCAGATTGTGTCTTACATGCAGGGCATGTAACTGAAGAATGAGCAGGATCCCGTACATGTGGATACCATATGGATGCAAAATGCTAAATATCTTCGAGCTATTGGATTTGGAGAGGAAAAATCCTGATATGTGTGTAACCGTTTGAGAGGTAAAGCCTAACCGGTGAAACCTGAAATATTCATTATCTCTGCCTTAATGTGTCCGACATGAAATTGGCATGTTGGCCAAGCCAAAACAACACTGCCAAGTGTTGCAACCCTGCACAACCCTGCATGCTCTTGAACAATCCTACATAATTCATTTGCTCCATACTCACCAATTTGAGGACTCAAGAGAGTCAAAAACCTGGCGTGAAGGTCCAGGGGTTCTTATCACCTCCCATGAGAGCGGTGCTTTCTAAACACTGTCAGTGATAGTTTGCACAAGATAAACACAGAATTGTTGACCTTAGAGAAGGTCTAGGAGGAATAACAGTTTGGAGGAACCGAGCAAAAACAGAGTTCAACTGTTTGCTGCTTTTGATGACACTTTTCAGGATAGCCACCAGTGAAGTGCTGGAGACTGCGATTGAGGACCATTATTCTGGAAATTCTAGCCCCTTTTAAGCACATCATGGGCAAGAATTCAATTCGAAAACCAACAAAACAGACCTCATGTTTACATAGCGCAGTAGCCTCAACTGACCAGTGGCAACACTCAGTTTGAAAAGGCCGTGCAACCATTCAGTCCGTCCATACAGTCTGATGAAAGCTGTCTCTCTCAAAGGAAAATAAATGTACAGACATCTCTCTACTTCATATTAAACAAGTACAGGGGGGGGGAAAAATCCCTTGGAAAGTGCCAATTTTTGGAACAAAGTTTACTTGCAGCAAACTAAAAATCTTAAACATTATTTGTTCGCTAGCCAAAGGCTTGTCATCAGGCAGCCCACATAAAAAAATGCATTTCAATAATGTCGGAGCGAGCCAAAAACCTGCCAAGCAGATAGTTCCCCGTGCAGTGAAACACATGAGCATTGTATGAGCCTTGGCACCATCACAGCAGATCACTCTCCTCTCTTCTCGAGGAATGGGCCAATTTAAAGTGAGTATAATGTATATGTAGACTTCCAGACAATTTATTTTTCTGATGTAACAAAAAGCATCGGGGATGGATGCAGAACCGGGACGCACTGACGCAGGGACTAAACCCAGTGTCCGTTTGCAGACAATTTACTGTTATGGTAGGTATGGCAATGGGTTCAAAGTGAAGTGCAGAAAATGGATCCACGCATACATTTATTACAGAGAAGGGATCGTTCATCATGGAGAGACTAAATCCAGCCACTACCTCCTCAAACGCTTCTCTCTTTCGCCGTCCAAATGCTGACACTCCTTTTCTTTATCGCGCCATTCCAGTTGCTCTTCTTTTTTTTAAAGTCTTTCTCAACCCCCCTTCCTCCACTCTTGGCTCTCCCCTGCCTTTTAAGTGAGCCTTGGGTAGCTTTTTGGTTTTCTTTTGTTAAAGTAACAGTAAACGAAGCTAATAAAACACAATATATTAGACTATTTATTTTCTGTAGGAACACATTCCACTCTATAAAGAGGACTAATGGCATTACACAGAGCTGGACTGATTCTTAAAGATTTACAGACAGTGAAGGTTAGCGTCAGCTAAGGGCTGTGCGGTCCAGGCCAGATGGCTCCAATAATCAATGGGTGACAAATCCAACTACCCGAGAAACCTTATGGTACCTTGAGTGCACATATACGTATAAATACACAGTTGTGGAATCGAGAAGAAAAGGCAAGATGTATAAAAAGTTATCTATTAAGTTTTTTATGGTAACAGTTTACAATAAGGATCAATTTAGTACCATTACTTAATGCAACAGGTATATGAACTAAGAATGAACAATACTTTTACTACTTTTACATTTGTTTAGATGTATTGTTTTTTTTAATTGATTGAACTTATTTTAATCTTGGTTTATGTTAATTTTTACATAAAATTAAAAAAAAAAAAAATGTACGCCTGCTTACTACGTATAATAATATAAAACAGAACAAAATATATACAAATATTGTTTTTATTTTATATATATATATATAACAAATAAAAATAAATCGAATATCTGATCTAATAACTAATATGAACTTTAGAATGTAACAAAATGAATAATACTCTAGTTTAATGAATGCTGTTCATGCAAGCTAATGCATTAATTCATGTTAATGCACTGAACCTTATTGTAAAGTGTTAATATTTTCTTAATGGGAATCCACTGAAAAACACAGCAACACCAGATAGGTCACCATAATCACTGGATACATACAATAAAAAGTGATACATTTCATAGAAAAGATTATCACCCTTTCTTACCTGTTTGGGGCTCATCTTCTGAAGCTCCTCCTCCCAGGCGTCCTGTTGGCTGCGGTGGTATGCGGAGGGCGGGGCCAGGTCCTGCAGGATGTGGGGGTCTCTCTCGTGGCACAGGGCTGTGAGGTGGCCGATGTACAGTTTCAGCTTACTGCGGTTCTGATTGAGGTCTATGAGTGGGGGGATAATCTGTCCAAAACAGGAACGAGGAAATGGGTTAGAGATAAAGAGTCATTTTAATCTCAGTTTTCCTCTACCGTTCAAGAATTAGATATTTGGACACGAGCCAGGGAGATAAAAAAGCGGGTATGCAGACGCATGCTTAAATGACACGCAAACAACACTTTTAGCAAGCCAGAACACAGAGTTCAAATTTTGCTTGGTCACATATGATTGTGTTCAAAAAGAAGGAGGGAAAAAAGAACAATATTCAGTGAAAGGTTGCGGATGATTATGGATGATAGACCACAGCTGAAACACATGAATCACAGTGAGAACAGTGGTATAATAAAAATGTGTCAGGGGAAACATTCCCATTCCAGGAACACAGACAAACAATCTCAGTTACCTGGACCGCAGCCGACAGATGCCCGGTTTTTTACAAAACATCTCTATACACACAGCAGACACTCACACGGCTTTTCCATATCCATCAAAATAATGCATACACTTGTGTGGGAGAAAATCCAGAAACCATATGTCTCGGTGCCATGTGTGTATCCTACTGGCTTCTACAAATGATTCTGGTGCAATGCATGATTGAGCCATCACATTTGTTTTCACATTAATCTAAAAATGAGATAAATAGCAACATGCTTGTGTTGAAGTGAATGAGAGTTTGCAGTATACTTTATTTTGAATGTCGTTGCCTAGGAGTTAAAGGCCTGAACTGGAACTGAAAGGCTGTTGGATATAATATAATATAATATACAATATAACATTCAGTACAATTACATAGGTTAAGAATAAGAATTATGGAGTACTAGCCTTACTGATAAAAAGCCATAATAATATAAAATACATTTTTAGAATTATATATATATATATGCACACACACACACACACACACACACATACATGCACATTATATAATAATAATAATAATAATATATTTTTCTAAATATATTTTATTATATTAAATTAAAATGATTTTAAAGTACTATTAAAGTCAAAATTTAATACTTCAATCAATACTGATGACACTGTGGATGGAAAACAGACTCAGACTCTTAGCTATATTTTCTTCTACGAGTGCCATCTACATAAAATGACAAAACTTTATGACAGATTATGCACAATAATGCAAAGCGGAGTAAAAGGACAGCTTGAATCAAGATGTTACATAAGCTGGTTTTGGGCTGCAATGGTGGATCCATAAATTCTGGGATGAGAGAGGTGAGCAATGTTTTTGAAATACTACAGTACAACACAAGACAGAAGAAAATCTATTAAAATGTTCCCTTACAAATACCTGCTCAAAGAGGGCGGAGAACATAGTAGGGCATAGGGAGCTCTGTGAATGCTCCCCATCGCTCAATAGCAGAAAGCAAATAGTTACCTGATTGCCAAGAAGCGGGGAGAGGAAACAGAGGCTAAAAAGAAAGAGTGAGTGATGAGAGAGATGTAAGAAAAGACAGGGACAGAGTCTGCTTTGGTCTGAAGCGGCCCGAGCTCGCAGGAACATTTGTGTCCCCACACTTTATTAATTCTTATTAACCTCATCTGTGTCTTTCCAGGGCAGAATGTTATTCTGTTTTCATTGGCTTGCCAGAGGCAATGAAGGCTCTCTAGGGTGGACCTTGGCCGCGGAGTGCGATCAAACAAAACTGTGAAAGAACGAGATGGAAGAATGTGGAGGAAGACCGAGGTTGAAGAGCTTATGACAGAAAGAAAGGCTAAAGTGGGTCGCCGGTTCTTCCTGGCTCTGGAACCAATTAGAGGACGCAAACTGGGTCTCTGCATAGAACCGGAGCAGCAGACGCACAGAGACCTATCTCATGCTCTCGTTAGTCTAAGGTCTAGTGCGGCCCGGCCTCCAAAACCTACCTACATTTGGGTGCCACAACTCAAACCCCTGCCTCATGATGGATGAATAATAAGGCAGGAATTCATCTGTTGAAATCATCTGTTAAATCAGCTGTGACAAAAAATTTATCTGCATGACACACGGCAGACCAATGGTAGAGTCTTTCGTATCAAAGCCAGACCTGAAACAGCTGTAAAGGGTGACATGTCCTTCCACATCTCCATCAGGTCTTGTCTCTCAGCCAAGCGGAGGATATATGGGGCCTCCAGATTGACTGGCAACCACAGAAAGAGGGATGAGGCCTTAAAAAGGTGGTCTGATAGAAGCCCTCCAAAGCACTGTGACAAAACCGCCGGGTGGATATGCTCGGAAAAACAGCTGCGGTAAAAAAAAAAACCCAGCCTTTGCGGTGGTGCCACATAAACGTGCGCACGCACACACAGAGACTTGCTACATACATGGTTGACTGAAAGCATGCTGTGCGCTAATAAGCTTTAAAAAGGCCCAACAAGTGATGGGATTTGACGTTTATTCCCTTCTCTTCCTCCCCATCTGCTCTTAGAAAGGATGAATGGACTCGAGTTTTCAGCTGTAGACAAATGCCCAAACACAGCGCTATCCGTCACCCTCTGGTTTAACTACTAAGTCAACACCTCTTTGGTGGCAGAAACAGTCCAGAAAACCTCACCTGAGTGTCCTGCTTAATCACCTGGAATCAGGTTAGTAGTAAAGTCAAGAACTGTGCATGATAGGGTCATGACCAGGTTTTGAGGATGGCCACAGTTAGCCCAGCTCTAGTTAACATAGCGCTAACATCGGTCTTGTCATGGCTGGTGACGTTTTCTGTCAACTGGGTGCTGTCATAACTGTTTGGCTTGTGCCCGTGTTGTCGTTACATTTAAAAAAAAAAAGTCCTTGCATGACGTCTTGGAAAAATTATCCATTTAACAGCTCTTCCATCTTTCCAAGATGTCTCCAAGAGAAGGTCTGCCAATTAATTTTTAAAATCTAATTACATGTGTCAATTAATTAATGAAACGGATTTTAATCACATATATTAATGTGACCCCATCTGCTCTTAGAAAGGATGAATGGACTCGAGTTTTCAGCTGTAGACAAATGCCCAAACACAGCGCTATCCGTCACCCTCTGTTTTAACTACTAAGTCAACACCTCTTTGGTGGCAGAAACAGTCCAGAAAACCTCACCTGAGTGTCCTGCTTAATCACCTGGAATCAGGTTAGTAGTAAAGTCAAGAACTGTGCATAATAGGGTCATGACCAGGTTTTGAGGATGGCCACAGTTAGCCCAGCTCTAGTTAACATAGCGCTAACATCAGTCTTGTCATGGCTGGTGACGTTTTCTGTCAACTGGGTGCTGTCATAACGGTTTGGCTTGTGCCCGTGTTGTCGTTACATTTAAAAAAAAAAAGTCCTGTGGTAGACTGAGATCATAAATAATGTAACGATAACAGAAACAAATATCATGCCCAGGTGACAGATTTACAACAGGGGAATTTTCCACTCAAAGCGCCATTTGTCTCGTCTATATTTTCATATAGTGTATATATTTTCAGTAGTTGTATCTCAGCCAAATATTGTCCTATCCTAACAAAACATAAATCAATGGAAAGAGATGTCTCCAAGAGAAGGTCTGCCAATTAATTTTTAAAATCTAATTACATGTGTCAATTAATTAATGAAACGGATTTTAATCACATATATTAATGTGAGACACTGGACCACAAAACCAGTCTTAAGTCGCTGGGGTATATTTGTAGCAATAGCCAAAAATACATTGCATGGGTCAAAATTATAGATTTTTCTTTTATGCCAAAAATCATTAGGACAAAGTAAAGATCATGTTTCATAAAGATATTTTGAACATTTCCTACTGTAAATATATCAAAACATTGCTAAGAACTTAATTTGGACAACTTTAAAGGCGATTTTCTCAATATTTAGATTTTTTTGCACCCTCAGAATCCAGATTTTCATATAGTGTATATATTTTCAGTAGTTGTATCTCAGCCAAATATTGTCCTATCCTAACAAAACATAAATCAATGGAAAGCGTATTTATTCAGCTTTCAGATGATGTCTAAATCTCAATTTCGAAAAATTGACCCTTATGACTGGCTTTGTGGTCCAGGGTCACATATTTCCTAGAAAGCCCTTAAATTAAATTACAGGTCATTTAAAATCTTCATATTATTGTGTTTATATCGGACTTTAGATATTAACATAGGCTTATTATTTGTTTTATTTCCATATTATTGAACATAAGCACATTCTGCAATCCACTCTATTTATTTTTTATTTTTTTCTCAGAGACATGTAAATGCATATTGTGGGTATTTTTCAACCGCTTTAAAATCAAATTTTAGAATTAATTGTTTATGTTTTGAATCCTGTTTGTTAGTCTTGTGCTACATTTTACTTTTTGAAGTTATTTTGTAATGACGGCAGACTATTTGCTTCCATTAAATAAATATATTTTTATTAAAATATACAATAACATTAAAATATAAAAGGTTGGAATTATTTCAAAACTATTTGTGGTTAAATTTCAATAAAAGAAAATATTAAGGGAAAAAAATATTTTTTTCTTAGTGTTTTTTATGGTTACATTTTCAGAGGTATATTTGTGTACAGTATACTGTTATATACTGTGTGTGTATATATATACACTTAATTTTCAATTAATTTCTACATATTATGCCTCAAAATGTGTGTGTGTGTGGGGGGGGGGGTTAAGTTTTTTTTCCAGCAAAAACAACTGTATTATTGTATATACTTTTGTTGTGATATAAAATATCTAATGTCATAAGAAATTGTTAATTTCACTTACCCCCAAGTGCGCCCTTACACAAAAAAAGCTCAATCACTTGTACAACCGTTGATGTGACAGTGACAGAGAAATGTCAGAGTCAGGACTCCTGCGACCCTCTACTGACCGTCTAAGGACAAAAATATCAATAGACTGTGGGTATTGACCGCAAAGACACATGTCTGTTCTCTTGCTCTTTGCCACATTGACCACCTTCTTGAACCTCACACTGCAGCTCCCGCCTAAAGACTAGCATTCACAAAAGGTTCACTGAGGCATCTGTCCGTCTCCTCTTTCATTATGTTCCCTCTAAAAGAAGCTGTCTTCACCAGAT